TATGCTGGGGACGAAGGCTCTGCCGCCTGTCTATGTCCAGCCAAATAGATTGGCGTATATCTAGTCGGGGTCACCTCAAGTGTGGGTACAGGTGTATAACCAACCTGGTGGTGTCCATTCAAGCCAGATTCGCCCCAGTGGGTATATCTATTTACACCATATGTAAGGGAATCCTGGCCAGCAGTTGAATTGTGATTGCCACCATATCATAGGGTGAAGTAGAAGCTACTCAGTCAGGGTTTGACCCCGGGTGTCCAGCAGTATAGGATACTGAATAACGGCTAGTCTGAGTCCCTGTAAGGGGTACCAGGGCAGTATCCCTAAAATTGAGATATCCCTTTTAGGGTGATATTCCTTTAAGGAGGTCCAGGGTGGTGTCCCTTGAAGGAGTGCCAGGGTAGTATCCCTTTAAGGAGTTCCAGGATGATATCCCTTTAAGGGTCCTGTACCTTCAAACCACAAGGGTACAACATAAACCTGTACATATAGGGCAGTTTAGAATACTTACCCATGCCTGGATTCGAACCAGGAACCCTGTGATCCAACGTCTGTGTCAGAGCAGCTTGTCAGCAGGTTTATTGGAGCAAAGTGCAACCTTTTGATCCCACATCTTTCTCAAGCTAACACCACAGTGAAACAGTACAATTTATATAGGGTGAACAACGTGTGCTTTTAATTATTATAAATTACCAATTACCATTACTTGTCCTGCCTTCTTGGCTGAGATTATCAGAATTGATGATCTCAGCCAATTCAATGCTTTACTATGGAAAAGCATTGTGATTTGGCTGAGATCATCACTTCTGATGATGTTGTAAAGCACAGTGGAATAAGTAGGTGATATATAAATACAAACATACACAGAAACACACATTGATGTACATATACACAGACTCAAACTCACAAATAATGCATACATAGAGATACTCCTATACAAACACAATCATATACACACACAAACACACAGACTCATATACAGAAAACCACATTCATATTTACATATATACACACAGACTTGACACTCACATATTCATAGCACACACGCACACAAACACACACACTTTACTTAAATTACTAACAAAGCTGCACATTTAAAATGACAAAACCCAAAAAACAAACACTCAATAAAAATGAACAAAAATTTAAAAATTATGTATCACTGTGATAACTTTTGAAAGTGCAATGTGCAATATCATTTAAAGATCAATATCCTTATACAGTGAACTTTCCAAGTGCAAATGTACAGTATCCACAAAAATCTTACAATAGTGCAAAAAAATTATGCAGTGTAAATATAAAGTGTGATTACAATTTATGTAATAGCCACTTCCACACACTTTTCAGAATATACTTACAATACGTTACCAATCAGGTAAGTATATTGGACAATAGTTCAGTGATGAATCATATACAGGGGGGAAAATGACAAAAAAACTATAGTGTAATATTGCTTTACACACAGCAAGATAACATATGTATGAAAAACCACTTTCAAATACAGAGCAGTGAAGTCTGCTCTAACTATAATCATTCTGAATGTGCTCTAATACAAGCAGGCATGAAGCAGTATTGCACAGGTAAGACGTTTATTAATCTTCAACAATTTAAAACTGCACACAGAGTAAGAACGAAGCGGCATCTGGAGTCAGAGACTTTATGCAGCTGGCAAAGGATCCAAAGACAGAGAGGGTGGCTTCACCAGAGGGATAAAGTTTGCAAGGGGGTTTACCAGAGTGAGCTCCAAACATTGGAAAGCCAGCCTGGCATGAATGCGTGTCAGGCTGCCTGTCAACCATGCAAGCTGGCAAACTAAGGGCATACTATGCAGCCAGCACCCTGAGCTTGGCATAAGTGTGTCTAATGATGCGCTTGCTCAACGCTTTCTGAGGACTGTCCCCTAGCACTCGCTGGTCCACTTGTCTCCTTACCATCTTACTAGCAGGCAGAAGCTCCTGCTATGTAGTCAGGAACAGACTATATGTAGTGATTGTAGAAGAAAAGGGACATACCACAGTGTTAGAGAGACAAAGTCAGCATTACCTTAACTAATTTCATATTCAGCCAGTCCACACAGGTTTTGTTCCCATACATCCCTCTTAAGTTTCCATACTTAAGCAAGAGTATGTGAAAAGTAGTTAGGGTTGTCATCTTTCTTGGAAAAACATACCTGCCTTGCTAATTTGCATAATTAATTATATAAAGGTGACATCACTAGATGTAAATCACAAGGAGTGACATATGAGAAAATGCTGTAAAATTACCATAAAACTACTTGGTTTGATTCTGCTTTATAGATGGATTGCTCCCAGTGTCTCAAGTCTCCCACTGTCCCAGTGTCCCCATGTCTCACAGTGCCCTCATGACTCAGTGTCCCCATGTGTCAATTACCCCAGGTTTCAGTGTCCCTATGTATCAGTGTCTCAGAGCCCCATGTTTCCCAGTGTCCCCTGGTGCCATGCCCCCAGGTCTCCCAGTGAACCCATGTATCACAGTGTCCATATGTATCACAGTGTCTCAATGCCCCATGTCTCTCTGTTTCCCCCAGTATTCCCATGTGTCTATGTTCCATGTCTCCCAGGGTCCCCATGTCATTGGGGACACAGAGAAACACCAGGGACACTGGGAGACAAGGGGACACTGGGGGACTAGGGGACACTGACGTGGACACAGACTCTAGAGACACTGGCTGGGGGACATGGGGGGCACTGGGAGACATGGGGACACTGTGCCCTATGTGTCTCTGTGTCCCCATGTCTCCCAATGTCCCTAAGTGTCCCAGTGTCCCGAAGTCTCTCTCCACACACAGTGACCCTTACTGGCCAGTGCTGGTATTATAATCCCTGTTTATACTAAGGAAAATACCAGCATTTGTATTGCCAGTATGACTGCAATATCGGCACCGGCCAGGCAGCCTCAAATACTGGCCAATTGCCAATAAAATACGAGCCAGGTGGAAACCCTAAGTAGTACTATAGTAGAGTAGTGTGCAGGGAAAAAAAAAACTTTTTCTAAATAAATCAATGGGCCTATTCCATGGGCATGGGCCTGGAGCTGCAGCTCCATCAGCCCCTATGTTAAGCCTTTCTTGTAGTAGAGACACTTAAGTGTCCTAACTTTCCATCAAATGTCCATTGATCTTTTTTCCAAGATTTCCTCCTGTAGGAGTCGCCCTTTGGGTGGTAGGAGACACCATGATTATTTGTAGAGCAGTACCTGTATGATATGTGAGATAGACCACATCCTCAACCATTCTCCACATAAAAACTTACTCACATCAAAGCTCTGGTCAGATATAGTATTATAGTAATTTTAACCCCTAGGCAAACTTAGATGCTGGGCCCCCTTGCCATGCATTATATGAACATGCAAGAACACATGGGTTTTTTCAGTAAACAGTTCATTTACAATTGAAAACCAAGTCCATTATTTAATGTTTTTGGATACATGTTTTTCAATTATTTAATATTTAAGGATAAACATAAGTGTTTTATTGTTTTGAAAAATGTTGCCATAGTCACAATTGTAATAATATAGTCTACACTTTGCAAAGTATTTCAATTCAATGCAGTCCGTTGCAAAGAAACTACATTTGTTCAGCAATAAACATTTTAGTATAGACAAGGTATTGAATTTATTGACACTTTTAGGCCAAAATAACCAAGATGGAACATTTTGCCAAATTTGTAATTTTTTCAAGTTTGGTTCATTTGGTTTACAATGGGTAATTGCTTTCCACAATTACAATTCGTTGAATTACTGTGAATTCCTCTACTACTATTAATGGAGACTGGTGCAGGCTTAGCTGATTGTCTCAGAGCAATCAGCTGACACTCTCAGCCAATAAGCTAACCATGCACTGTTAGGGAGAAGCCTCTGGGGGTCACCAGGGTTGGTAAAACCATTCTAAAGTGGGTTATGGATTTTCCTAAGATTTAGATTTTTAGAAGTTTTATTTTTCCACCGATTGGACACAGCACTGAATGGGTTAAAATATACTTGTACTTGTTGACCTTTGTGTGCGTGCATACCTTTGAACTTCATGCCTGAGTTATTGGATTCAAAATGTATTTAGAGTGGCTTTAGATTTGTAGTAAAATGTATTAAACAATAGGACAATAAGGCAATATGGAAATAAGTTGCAAGTTTTACCAAAGGTTCCACAGTCTGTGCAAAAAGTAATTATTTCTCACATCTTATAAAGTCTGTTAGAATTTACACGACCACAGAGTTCTCTTGTTATTGCAGGTTTCAACAAAATTTGCTTCCAACAAATTGAGCCCTCTAGAGCAGGGGTAAGCAACCCCGGATGCTGTGGACTACACTTACCATAATGCTCTTACAGGCATAATGCTGGCAAAGCATTAGGAGAGATGTAGCCCACAACATCTGGATACCCCACTAGGGAATACTTTTTTGACTTTGCTTATTTGTTAATTGTTTTTGTCTTTATTTGCAGAGAGAGATACACTTCTTGACTTTCTGCTGTGACTTGAAAATCAAGGGGCACACATATGATAGCTGGATATTTTTGGGTCACGGTAGAAAGTGCCTGAAAATTCTGTGTTGCATTCTTCAGGCCCCTGAAGGTTAGGTTGGATTTCAATCTTTCCCCAATGCTGTATTGATAAAGAAGGCCCCAAATGACTTACTGAAATCATCATGTATTGACAAGAGAATTACAAAATGTGGGGTATTTTGGATCAAATGTTACATTTCTATTGCAAGTTGGTCACATTTTACTTTTTAGTAAATAACCCTCTAAGTGATCAGTGTAATATTAAAGAGTTTATCTGAGTGATTACTTAAAAAATAAATGATTTGGTCAGCTGAAATAATGAGCACATAGTAATAAATAACCGTGTTGACATTGACTTCCTCTGACTCATGATAAGTCTCATCTCAGTTAGTCAACAGCATCCACTAATTAATAATGTTAATTAACAAAGTATATAACAGGTTGCTGGTGACATTATCATCATACAACACCACAGGCATTCAGAATGGACCCCAGCTCTCACAAACGCTATCATCTACATGAATGGGAACCAACAGACAAGTTTAATGCATATTATTCTGGAACAAGTGAAAAATATATCACTGAAGAGACTGTGAGGTTTCCAATGGAACAGCTTTATAAAGTGTCAGGACAAGGTATGCTATGTTACATATATTAATACATTTAAAAAAAAAAATACACATTCTCATTGGTAATATATATATATATATATATATATATATATATATATATATATATATATATATATATATATATATATATATATATATATATATATGTATATGTATATGTAAAAAAAACAGATAAAATTCTTATCTTGTAATACCTTTTTTTTATTGGACTAACAGAATTTTTTAATGACAAGCTTTCGGGAGAACCTCCCTTTCTCAAGTCTGAAGCATTTCTGAGCAAAACGACACATAGAATTCAAAGTTGAGTTGTGATACAGGGGTTAAAGCGACATGAGTGTAGATAAGACACAGGTTTGTTAGAAAATAGACACCATTTTTGCAGAGGGTCATAAATATCTTTCTGAAGAGCAGAGTGAGGGGGGAGAGAGGGAGAAGAAAAAAAAGCAGACAGTGCAGAGGATGGTACACTTTATACATGCACACGCACATAAATATGTATATGTGAACGCATAAACACATGTACATATACATATACATAAACACATATACATACATGCACATGAACTCATACACACAAATATAAATGCACAGTAATATATATATAAGCATACATGCATACGAGTATGGGAAAGCATAGGTCCTACACATAGTACTTTGTATATAGATAGAATAAACATATAGGAATGTATTTTAAAGTGTTGGTACATATGACAGAATAGTAAGATAATGCTGGGAGAGTGTTCATGTAAAGTGTTGGTAGTGGGACAGGAATCCCAAATCAATATTTAGTCCTCTATTCTTGCTGTTAAACCATTTAATCATTCTGGCTTCAAAGGCTTTTCTTTCCTGGGTATTTTTAAAACCCCCTTTCAGTACTTTGATTTTTAGGTCCTTCAGTGAGTGGCCAGGTTGGGTAAAGTGGCACAAAGTACTGAAAGGGGGTTTTAAAAATACCCAGGAAAGAAAAGCCTTTGAAGCCAGAATGATTAAATGGTTTAACAGCAAGAAGAGAGGACTAAATATTGATTTGGGATTCCTGTCCCACTACCAACACTTTACATGAACACTCTCCCAACATTATCTTACTGTTCTGTCATATGTACCAACACTTTAAAATGCATTCCTATATGTTTATTCTATCTATATACAAAGTACTATGTGTAGACCTATGCTTTCCCATACTCGTATGCATGAATGCTTATATATATTACTGTGCATTTATATTTGTGTATATGAGTCCATGTGCATGTATGCATATGTGTTTATGCGTTCACATATACATATTTCTGTGTGTGTGCATGTATAAAGTGTATCATCCTGTGCACTGTCTGCTTGTTTGTTTTTCTTTCTCCTCTCTCCCCCCTACTCTTCTCTTCAACAAGATATTTATGACCCTCTGCTAAGATGGTGTCTATTTTCTAACAAACCTGTGTCTTATCTACACTCATGTCGCTTTAACCCCTGTATCACAACTCAACTTTGAATTCTATGTGTCGTTTTGCTCAGAAATGCTTCAGACTTGAGAAAGGGAGGTTCTCCCGAAAGCTTGTCATTAAAAAATTCTGTTAGTCCAATAAAAAAGGTATTACAAGATAAGAATTTTATCTGTTTTTTACATCTACATCACTGGACTAATACGGCTACAATCTCTACTTGAACACTATATATATATATATATATATATATATATATATATATATATATATATATATATATATATATATTACCAATGAGAATGTGTAGTTTTTTTTTATATATATATTTTAAAAAAAATATTGCAGTGCATAGACTAACATACAGGCATTTCAGGACATCATAGTAAAACAATGCGTTAAAAAGAAAAGAGTAGCTTAGTACACCACAGGTAATACATGTTTTGTGTAATAGTATAAGCACTATGCACAGCCAGTCAGCAAGTAGCAGGGCGAAAATTAACGTAATGAGCATCAACAGGTCTGTGGTAGCAATCATACGAGTAAATAAGGGATAAAAACCTCCAGCTTGTCTATAAGTGTTAGCTTCCAGGATGCCCCCCAATCAGGTTATGTGTGAAACAAGTGTGTAGTTGTAGATTATAAACAACGTAAAGCTTTTTTTTGGCTTTGTTTATTTTTTTTATCTTGGTTATTTTTCTACGCAGGTCAAATTCAAGGAGACTATTTGATTGATATTTCTGCTGGCTGTAACATTCACCATCTATTGCCTATTTTTGAGTTTTTCAGAGACATCACTATTTTAGAATCTAGTGATCTCTGTGTGAAGGAACTAGTGAAATGGAAGCATAAGGAGTCTAAAAACTATGACTGGACTCATGCCTTATCGATTATGGCAGAATTGCAAGGTTCAAGGTAAGACTCTAGCTACCAGCCATGTTTTTGATGACTATTGAATTAAAATAAATGTCCATAAACCTTTCTGAAACATATTTTAACAAGTTATTTAAAGAAGTAATATAGAACTGGAAGGCAAATATATCCATGTAGTTGATCAGGGACAGAATTGTGTTCTTGTTGACTATTCATTTATTGTTTCTATTCTCTGTCACACAGACATTCACATGTCTCAAAAGAATGGATGAGTCTCTCTATACAAATATTGATTCTTAAAGACTCATTAGTGAAATGTAATACAGGTAGTCTTCACTTTGCAACTTACCTGCAAAACAACGGCTCAGAGTTACGGCCTGCTCTGAAGCGCTGAGATTACGTTTGAGGGATTCCTTGCTCTGGTGAGCTAGTCTATGCTCAGGGAATTTTCCTCGAACATAGATTTGATGGATTTCCTGCGCTAGTGAGATGGTCTATGTTCAGGGAATTACCCTCGACATAGACCTTCCCTCTAGCACATGCTCTCTAGTGCATCCTCACTTACTGTCCAATTCATTATACGGCTGAGTCGTAAGATCGGAACCTGGTCGGTAAGTGAGGATCATCTGTAATACAAAAAAACAGTCTGCCACTTTCCCAATGTAGAGTGCTGTTATTTTGTTATGATAACATTTTATCATCAATGTAAAAAAAGATGAATAAATAGATTATCTTTCATATACAAAGCCCTACTATAAATTATCAGTATAATTGTGCCTGAACTTTGTGATCCTATTGAAAAACCATTAGGGGAGACGCAAAATGTGTCTAGCTTTTTTTTATATATCATGTTCATTAGTTATCTTTATTTTTACATACTAATTTATTCCTAATTATTATGTTTAATTTTTGTAATATCAAAAAAAAGAGGTAGATTTCTGGGAAATCCTGCAACCGGTCTCTTCAATAGTAGTACAAAGCACAGATATTATTTTTCTTCATATATCATGCACCTCTTTCAGGTTAGGTGGCTTTGCTCTGCCCAACAAAGACCAAAAGTTTAGCTTTTTTAGAGAATGTCTGCCACAGAGACATTTTTGGGTTTCTAGGTTTCAAAGACACCAGAAGCTTGAGCCCAAATCACACCTTGACAACAAATCCCCACAATATGCAAGAGTGTATCACAGAGATCCCAAGGAATACAACTCACTCTAAACTTAAATCATTGTGTGTATGAGTGAATCACAACAGTCCACGGATATAATGCTGTCAGCAATGTGCAGTGTGTATGAGTGTACTACAGAGTTCCATAGTAATACATTTCACAACCTCACCAAAACAAAACTCTCAGGAATAGTTTATGAAAATAATGAAAACGCACAATTTTATGTTTGCAGAATAAGGATGTAAAGTGAAAAAAAGAGCAAAATTAAAAGTAAAAAATTAAAAATAAAAATACAATAACCCCCCACCCAACTATTTAAGTATTATAGGAATATTTCACAAGTGTTATAATTTAGTCCCAAATTAATCAAGACACCACAAATCAACTTTCATATGTAGGCCATAGGATTAGTCGGTTTTTAATTCATTCATCCAAAAAGCTTCTCTATAAGTCCGTTTTTTAATCCTATTACTCTTTCTTCACTCTACCTGTTATAAAAGAGTGACAAAAAAATAAAAGCTTTCTAAACTAAAATGCGTAGAGAATGTTCATGATACTTCATGTAATCACTATAATTATTAAGAGAAAATACACCCCCTTCCATGCCAGTAATATGTCAACTATATATCACCACCATAGTGCCAAGCTCTGCATTACCCCAGATATTTTTAGATTCCCAGCCCCTCGTGTAAATATTTGCATATTTGTACATCTTACCCATTATACACACACACGTATGTGTATATATATAGATATATATATATATATATATGTGTGTCTGTGTGTGTGTCTGTGTGTGTATGGCATTAATGCATTACTTGCTCCCAGGTGTTAATCCAGGTCATCAATATAGGCAGAAATATGTTTATCTAAATATATACATACACACATGTTTTAAATACTGTTTACATGTACTGTAACTGTTCTCTGTAATGGTTGTGGTGTTTAGACTATTTCTTTGTAGAAGAAAAGTTAAAAATTCCCAGCCAAAAATAAGCTCTTACCACTTGCAAAAGATTTGTTTTATTTATTTATTTATTTATTATGAAGACATGCTTTACCAGAAGAAAGACAGCACCATTTAGGTGTATCAATCATACACATTAACAACGCCACATGACTATGTGGGTAGTAATGTGACCTCATATAATGTTTCATTTTATCACAATATAGCGTAGCAACAAAACTTCACAGCATGCATTGTTATAGTCATTATACATTACATGGAATTTCTGGAAATCTATTTAACTATTGACAAATAAATACTAGATTTGTTAAAAAATTCAACAAATTGATTTGTCTGAAAAAAATACCTTTGATGCGTATTCAAACTAATCAATTTGTTCTGAAAATAAATGGAAAATCCAACTCTGAAATACAACACTAACGAAACAGCTCATCCGCTTAAAACAAATTGAGGGGTTTTGATATGAATAAATCAGTTAATTATCAGATTACTCATAATGTTTATTGATATACCAAACATTTACACAAGTGTAATAGATATGTTCAACAATTTAGAAAGACTTATTTCCAAATAAGTAAAAACAAAATAGAGCATATCAATGCTCCTTCTAAAGACATGCTACAGATGACGTGTTACATGTGTCTCCATTGTATGTATGTATCAAGCTTTTAGCTATCTGGTTATATTTTTCAGCTTTAAGGGCAATGAAGTGGAAAACGCTTTAAGAAGAAATATCTCACACATTTTAAAATGTGATTTCACCAAGGAAAACATCACAGAACCAGTCGTTCTACCAAAAGCAGACTGCGTGCTCAGTTTGTTCGTTTTCCATATGTTTTCTGAAGATCTAGACGATTACTGCCGGAACCTGAAAAAAGTGTCATGCTTGATAAAACTGGGTGGGCATCTGCTGCTAATTGGATTATTTAATGCAAAATATTACACTGTAGGTGGGAGCAAATATCACTTATTAACATCTGATAAGAAGTCAATAGAGGAGGCTCTGAGAGATGCAGGATTTGTTATCGAACATCTGGAAGTGATAGAAAGCAAAATACGCAATGATACAGCATATTGTGAACATATGTTTTTTATTAAGGCATTAAAAAAGAGCAATGTTCTTGTTTAAATTGGAACTTCACTCCATCTTAAAGGGAATGCATACTTAAAATGTATTTCCTCTTTTCAAAATGAATTATTTAGATAATACACTAATGAAAATGATGTCAACAAAATAAATAAATATTTAAATAAGTAACCCTTTTAACATTCCTAATGCTTGCTATTGACACTTGCACAACACATTGGTAGACAGACCCTATTTCAGCAGGAAGTGACTTACAAAACAGGGACTACTTATTTTTGTTCTAGAGGATCTGCCCTTATCTCTATCTGGGAATGAACATGAGCTCAGATGTTGCCTACACTTATTGCATGCTGTGCAAAATATGGACAATACTGATTAAGGTAGCCCGGAACTAAATGCTCTAACTCCCTGAGTGACAGGTCTGGTGGGCTGGCTTATGCTACAATGTCGTTTTAAAAATCATTGCAGTTATAAGTCCCTTTCCGATCTGAGGGTTGGTTCAGAGTAATTTCTGCACTCAAAAACATTGAAATTATGCAAAGTTGTTATGATGTTAAGACTGGTCCTTTAAAATTGTTGTAGCTAAATGTGGCATGAAAACCAACCCTTAAATATAAAAAATTCTGTCAAATTTTACCCAATTAAATTTTTTGATGGGACAGATTATTTCTAGCATGTATTGATCTGACACAAGAACAGACAGACAGAACAGTGATAGATTCACTATGTAGTACACCAATATTTACATTGAAGTCTACACACTCTAGTAGTTCCAAAACAAAGCCACAGGCAGATAATAAAAAAAGTGCACAATTTATTAAAAATAGAAAGAGGAAAAAATATAAAAAATGTCAGCAACTAATAGTCCCTCTAATAAGATGTTACCTCCAATATATGCACCAAAAGCCAGTGTGCAACTGATATGAATATTAAAATAGGTGGAAATGAAACAGGGGGAAGCAGGGAGAGGCAAATGGCAGCTGGAGATAGCAAAATCTACTAATAATGATAATTTTTGAAAATTATTTAAATTGCAGCATAAATAACCAACACAAAAAAAACTCTTTATAAAAATGGTTATTGTTTCATTTTAAATTGATAGTTTTCTTGATTTGATAATTTTATTTTATACGGTTTTGTTTTATGAGAAAAACAAGCCAAGGATATTGGAATGTATGTTTATGAAATGTATGATGTTAGGAATAAAAATGTGAATAAACAAGAGAAAGAAAATTTGCTTATTTTAGTCAGTATGTAGCTTATCAAAGACAAACAATGTAAATTAGGTTATATTGCACCCGGGATGGAAATCTATATTAGCACCGCTGCATATTTAAAAAAAAAGCAAAATCCCAATAAAGAGACAAATAATCATCTGATGAATAATATGACAAGGAATAACTCAGTATTGCTCCAGATGGTGGAGACTATAAATATAGGGGAAATGGGCAAAATGTAACACTAGCTAAATACATTATCACAAAGTATCAAGTGACTCTAACGCTTTTTTCAACAATGCTGATGAGGAAACTGGTAAATGGAATATGTAGCTACAGTTAACAGGAGGATATTAAAATTATTATTTGTATCTCACAATGTTCTCCCCAACACTATCTTGTTAGGAAAATTACACACACATTCTCACAGTCATATACGCATACACATTTGTATACAAAGACATTTATATCAGCAAATACATACATTCCAATTCACTAGATTGTAAGCTTGTTGAGAAGGGTCCTCATCAACCTATTCTTCTTGTACCATTTTGTATTTGTCTCACTTGTTTAATTACCTCTTTTTTATGTTGTAAAGCTCTGCAAAATA